ATTGGTTGGTGCCGCTTACGCCTGTGGTAGGTGTTCCCATTATCCACACCCAGAATTATGCAGCACCAATCACTGGACTTACTTGGTTATCACACACTCTTAAGCCATAGTCACACACACTAGATCACTGATGGAGAATCTTTAAAAGACTTCAATGGTTAAAAAAGACACAGCCAGCTGCATCATGCATGCCATAGGTTCTCTTCTGCTGACCTAGATCCAGCTCCCTCTGAAAAGCCACATCTATGACCACATGGAGGTTTTGGGGGACCACCCAGGTACAAGCTATAGCATCCATATTATCATTTTCTTCATTTTTCTCTTTATTTATTAACTCTCTCTCTCTCCCTTCTTCCCCTTGGTTTTTTTTTTTTTTTGATGTAATACATATCTATTTGTTTTTATTGTGATACATTAAATTTGTGATACATAGTTACATTAAATTTGTGATACATAGTTACATTAATCCTAGGCAACTGGTACATGTACATATCATATCTTGATTATTTTTACTTTCCTTTCACTCGCCTTCCTTTGGTATATTTTTATTGTTTAATTTTTATCTTCTATTAATTTGTTGCATACATATTTTATTTCTTGTACACTATTCACTTTGGAGATTGTATCAAACATCATTTAATAATAAAAACCTAAAATAAACCCATTCTTTGACCTCTTCCTAGAAAAAAATAAGAGCCTTAGAATATTCCTGTTTATCCATTCCTAATATCTATGTGTGTTTTGATACTTCATATGATTACAGTCCTGTAAAACATTATTATTTTTGTTTTACATTTTTGAAGTTCATCCAGCTGTACTCACATACATTTTCTTGCCATTCTTCTCAGGTTTTCTTTTCTTTTCCTTTCTTCTCTTTTTTCTTCTCTTATGAGTGATCTCTATAACATTAATCGGTTATTTAAGGAATATTCACTACTGTTTCATTTAGCATAGTTTATAGTATGTGTCTCATTTTCTGTTTAGCCAAGTGCTCTCATTTTGGTATCTAATAGATTGAATATAAAGAAAATTTACATATTTTATACATTGAAGTTGAGTAATCTTGTAAACATATGTATACTTAAAATTTATCAGAAACATTATTGATATGATGCATTTTGGGCATTCTAACAGTAAGTTTTAATATTTAGTTTTTTAAGACACAGTAAGCTTAAAGAAAAGATTTAACCATGGAATGATAGAACAGTGATAAACTATTATAAAAGAATCACCTATATTAAAATACTGTACACACTGCATAAGTGACTAATAATGTTATATTAAACAATTTCTATTCCATCATACCTGGCTGGTCTAGTTAAATAGTCACCTCCATGCTTGTAGATAAAGATTCGGTTTCTCACTAAACAGTTTGCTATCTGAAATTTGGGCTGGATAATTGTGAAAGAAAATAAAATAGTCACTGTCTACATTAGCACTATTTTATACTTGTAGTATGAAGTCATTGAACCTAATCTTCTTATATCTTTTAAGTTAAAGACAGATATTAACTAGCTTTGATGGAGGTAAACTTTAAGTGTGTTAGGGATTTCTCAGTACAAACTCATTAAAGCAACATCATCAACATATCAATTGACACATAACTGTTATGTTTTGTGTGTAGATGTCCCCCCAAAGCAGCATGTGGTCATAAGGCTTTTTAGAGGTGGCTGACTGTAGAATTTGTGATTAATAAATCAGTCTATAATTGGTTGGTTCCAAGGCAAGGTGTCTTGTCAAAGGGCATCACAAAGAACAGTTCATAGTGTCCACATAATAGCAAAAGCAACACAGAAGGGTGAAGACCAGCCTTTTTCTGTTCCTCTAATCTTATCACAACTATGAGGATTAGGGTGGTCCCCAACCATTCAATAGACTGATCACACATCCTCAATCTCAGCATCACACACTCTAGATTCAGCTACCTCTGAAAAAGCCCTAGGACAGCATGAAATTGGGGGCCATCTGAACAAAAACCATAACTTTTAACTTACTTTTTCTTCATTTTATACCCTTATTCCTGAAAGTGTATGACATTTATTCATTTGATATTCTATATCATTCACAGATCTTTATAAAAACATATAAAGATATGGGAGCCACATAGGAGATTAGGGAAACAAATTTCTGGGTATGTCCAGGTGGTTCCTAGCGGCTGGGTCATGGAGGTGTGATCTTTTGGATTATGTGTGGTTCCAAACCCTCTGTTCCCTTGCACTGTTCTCTGCTTCCCAGCCACCATGAAGTGAGAAGAATTCCTCCGGCAAGCTGTTCTTTCATGTTGTGTCTGCCTTGGAGACAACCAACCATAAACTGAACTCTCCAAAGCCATGAGCCAAATAAAGCTCTCCTCCTTTTCATTGTAGGTCTTTCATATTTTGAAGTGGTAGCAGGAACCCTGACCATTACATGGTCCCCTTCACAGTCCCTAATAGTTCCTCTTTTACTTTCTGGTCTTCCTCCCCCTCTTCTTCCTCCTCCTCCTCCTTTTTCCTCTTTATTCTCCTTTTCCTACTTTTTTCCTCCTTCTCCTTCATCCTTTCATCTTTCTCTTTCTTTTCTTTTTTCTCTCTCTCTGTTTCACGCTGTCCTACAGTTTTGTACACTTTCCTGCAAATTTTATTCTTCTTTATGGTTGAATAACACTCCATTGTATATATATGTATAACATATTTCCTTTATCCCTTCAGCTGTTGACCAGCACCTAGGCTGATTCCGCATCTTGGCTACTGGGAATAGTGCTTCAGTAAACACGAATATGCAGATTTTTTTTCTCCTGACTTCCTTTTCTTGATCTCTATACTCAGTCAAGAGTGGGAGAGTTGGATCATTTTGTAGTTCTATAATTAATTTTTTGAGGAATCCTCATGTTTTCCAAAATAGCTGTACTAAATCTCATTCCCATCAATACTGTACAAGATTGCATTTTCTCTACATCCTTATTCATTTTTGTGATATTTTATAATAACCAGTTAAAGAGAAAAAGATAGACTAAAAATTAAATAGAAGTTCTATGGTTGAGGCTATGCAGAAAATCTTACCTGGAATTCAAAGTTAGAAGTGTGTATCTGCCAAGATCTCACAAGTTTGGGAGACCAGAAAAAGTATCTGGAAGATTATCTTAAAAATAAACCTTGCACAATGATCAGAGCATGGAGAACTTCTGTCTGATGTGAATTTCACCAGAGTGTCCACAGTGAGGTTCCTAATACTCAGCTGTACAACCTAATCCATTCTCACAGGTACATCAGTTCTCTCTTCATTCCCTTGATACATTATCAGTGGTCTATATAAAATATGTTCATGGCAGCAGGGATGGAACCTAGGTATGGCAGCAAGATATGGACCTCTCTGCACAAAGGCTGAGCTTGTTATTCTTTAATCTCACAGAAACAAAGGTTAATGATAACTAAGTCCAAGTCAGGACAGAGTTATGCCATCTGGGAGTTTGGGGAGAGCAACATAGCTACCTAGGGGCAGGTTGAGTGGTGAAAATGTTTCTTTAGCCTTTTCCAAAGCTCTGTAACTATGCTTGTCATTTAGTTCTGTTTGGTTAAACTACCTTGAGTTTTAATCATTTAGACCAAAAGTCACAGATGTAACTTTCCAGGCACAGAACATACTATAAAGGGAGAAATGAACCCAGGAAAAACCCCAGAAAGCAGGAAGAAGACACACATGGATGCAGCAGATTTAACGTTGAAGAAGAACAAATGGAGCTAGAACAAAACGACGAAGCCAGGAGACTGTTTCAGGAAGAGCTGTGTGGTCACTAGTTCTGAGAGCAGAGAGCACAGACGTGAGGGAAGTGAGTGGGAGGCGTCTGCTTGACTTTCTGCACTGACGTCTTAGCCAGGGAGGGTCAGGGGTGCCAGAGGAAGCAACTGAGAGCGGCATCGAAGGTACCAAGATAAGCTTGGCTCATGGACTGGAGGACAAATTTCTCTAAAGGGAAGCAAAAGTCAAGGCTGATAGTAGGTGCAAAATCTGAGGTAGAGAGAGTCCTGGAACTAGGACAGAACACCGTGGCTCTCCAAATTTCCTGTGAAGATGAGAAACCATGTTGCTGCTAACATTGAGTATGGTACAGACCCATTCCTTCTACTTTCAATACATCATTTTAGTGATATTAAAAATAAGGATCAATTCACCCTTCATAATATTACTATTACCATAATAGATCAAGTTCCTCTGCTTTAAAGATTAAGATCATAGCTTCCACATATGCAGAATCTGCTCCTTTTACTTATCTAGCTACAGCGGTTAATCACTCTATGTTCAGTATTTTGGAGGAAATTAACAAGTTCTTTACAGGGTTATGAGGAGGTTTAAGTTACTTCATTTGTGATAAAAACTGCCCAGCGTCTGGTATACCAGTTAGTTATTATTATTGCTGTGATTATTTATCTATCTTTATGATTTATTAAGCTAAAACAGATTCCTTTATTAAATTAAATTTTTCACTTGGAAAGAACTATAAATTCACAAGCGATTTAAACTATAATACAGAAAGATGCCATGGATCTTTAGCCTAACTTGCCCCAATGAATACATCTCATAAAACTATAGTAAGAGACCACAACCAAGACATCACTATTGATATAATCAAACTACAGAATGTGCCCATCACTACAAGGTTCCTTCATGCTTCCCTTTTGTAAACACCAATACTTTACTCCTACTTCTCCCCACTATTTGTCAGATCAACTGACCATCCATGTACAGAAAATCGAATGTAGACCCATATATTTCAATACATACTAAACTGGAATCAAAATGGGTTAAAGGCTATATGTTAAAACAGAAACACTAAGTCTGCTACACGATAAAATAGGTGAAGCACTTGAACTCATAGAGGTAGGCAAAGATTTTCTGAACAGAATTCCAAATGCACAGGAAACAGTAAAGCAATTAAAAAATGGGATCATATCAAATAAAATGTTCTGCACAGCAAAAAAAAACAAAACAAAACAAAACAAAACAGCTTACAGGGTAAAAAGGCAACCTATGGAATGGAGAAATATTAGCAATTGGAACAGAAAAAAACCCAGGCAAAAAAAGAAAAAAAAAGAAGTTAATCAGTAACATATCAATACATTTTAAGAGCATGGGATGGGTATCAGATGCTTGATACTGAAAATTAGAGTTCTCCAAAGCTCCATTCGTTCATTTATCTTTGGTCTCTTGGCCTTCTTGCCTTTCCATGAATGTGACCGATTGTTTTCTGTCTTAGGGTATTTGGGGTTTTTCTCCCTGTGGAACATACTCCAGTCTCTGTATGGCTGGCTTTTCTTGGCTTCAGTTCTCAATTTAAATGGCATCTCCTCAAGGATGGCCTCGCTGATTACCCAATCCAAGTAATGCTTCAGATCACTGTCACACTGACCTATCTTTCCTTTACAGTACTTATCATTATCTCTTTTAAAATTAGTAGCGCTGTGACTGCCATCCCTCTAAATTGCTCTGTAGGGTAAGATCTCTTTGAGAGTAGAGGACGAATCATTCTTGAGCACCTTGTCTTCTCTGTCCAGTGCAGAACCTGACACACAGTGGATTGTTTCCTGTTGGACTAATGAATGAACGGAGGAATGTAGTTAGTTTAAGGTAAAAGAGAAGACAATTTGAAAAGACTATGAGCTAATCAAGAGCAAGGATGATGCTCTGAGCTCCAGTGAGCCAAGCAGCGTAAGAAGGAAAAGAGCTCTTAATAGGAGCAGTGTGCTCGACGGTGGAGGGTTTTGGAGCTCTAGAGTAGAGTAGGCGATTTTACGTTCGCCTGGAGGTAATGGGAGTGCTTTTTAACCAGGTTGACATAATAACATACTATTTTAAGAAAACTAAGTGGAAATGATAAACAAATTAGGGTGAGGACAGGGGAGCTCAAGTAGAAGCAGGGGACCAAATGGGAATAATAATTGTGATAATATTGCCATGATCTAAGAGGCCTGAGACCTGATAGAAAGGAGACCAAGCTTGAAGAAAACTTGAAAAGTTCAACCTTCTCTCATCATTTAAAAATTATGATTAATTTGGAGGATTATTTTCTAAATCCTTAGCATTATTTTTTCTCTCACGTTTGTTTATAAATGTTTCTTACGTCTTGAAAATTTCTATAGATAAAATCAGTCCACCAGACGGTTAACGAACCTGATTTCTTCCAGCTTAGGTCTACACAAGGTCATGTATATAGGACGAAACAAGCTTGTCCGTTTTAGAACTGGAGAAATTGTTGAACTGACCTAGAAGAAGATATTTATCTGAAATTAAAGCAAATCATGGAAGCTTTATTTACATCTAGGCGTTCTACCACGTATACTGAGACTCTTTGTACATTGAGGCTTTATTCTATTTTATTATGTCATTTGATTAAAGTGAGAATTACACTCCCTCGGATCTCTGACCTTCTGTCCTAGGAGTTTTTGTGGCTCACAGTTGATTTTGCTCAGTTTGTGCTCCTCTGGCTGCACACGGGCTCACGGCGAGAGGGTGGGCGTCATCCCAGGATAGCAAGGACTGTTTCTGCGGAGAGCTACTCTCAGCGCATCTGTTTTACTCTCACCCTGAACAGAAATTGCTCAACTATTCACTGGCATCAGGATTTCAGGGCCAGTCGCTCTTGGTGTGGATAATTGCCATGATTTTCAAGGACTGTTCTGTAATTCTTTTCAGTCCATTTTTAACCCTGGCAGACTATCGCTGTTTGATACTGACTACCAAGAAGCAGTTGCTGTAGGAAAACCAAACTGTTCTGACATTTCTACTTACCGGGTTTCACTTGCAGTTCATTTCAGAGCGCGACAATCAGAAGAAACAAGGAAGGGCTTTGTTTTGTTTTGCTTTTCCAGACTCATTTCAAGAAACACTACACGCAATCTGTCTACACAGTTGTTTGGTTCAAGAAAATGTTTCCACTCATCTTACCGCCGCGTTGTAACGGAAAATTGCTGCCGGTGCCAAACCCACCAAGAACGTTCGCGGCACCAAAGAGGACCTCTGCTCTCCACTACTGTACATTTCTCCTGGCCTCAAAGGCTCAGCCACACGTTCTAAAGTGTAACGGGCCTCTGGAAGCAGGACAGGAGCTGTCAAGTTCAATTTATCCCTGCTCTCCGTTGATAAGCAGAAAGATGTTTTGTGAAATGTCAGGTACAGAGTTTCAAACAGGAAGGCAGCAAAGTAATCTTTTCAGAGTTTGGCTACTGGGCTCAGAGTTGCCCGTGTGCACGGAAGAGGCTTGCTGAGCAGAGGGGCTGTGATGTTTATTGAGGATGAATCAGAACATTAGAGAGAGCCGCAGAGACCCTGTAGCTTCTAAGGCTGTTTTGACATCCCTTACTACAGTGCACTAGGAAGTCACCTTAGAGATATTATTACTACTACTATTATTGTTAGTTAAATTACAGCATATCTCTCATTCAATTTCTCACCGCAGAGAAGTGAAAATCTCTAATAAACAAGGAAATTATTATGTACGAATTTGCATGGCCCAAACTAATCTAAGCAATGAATGATTCATCTTTGGTATTCATGAAAGACACCATACTATTAGTCTAATACATAAATAACAGAAATGAATTACCTCATGTCTATGTGTAGCTTTACCTGTCTATATCAATCCCTGGGATCATATGTATGAATTCATGTGCATAATGTAATTATAAAATATTCATCGTGGTTTCATTGTACAAAAGTGTAGAAATTACTTTCGTACTCAGAGTTTAAGGTAAGAACCCCAGTTCAATAAAAGGCTTTTGGCTTTTCCTTTTAGAGGGATTTACAGTATCCGTCAGTGGGTATAGTTCACATTAGCATCCAATGACATTGCTTCGTCTGTATATATTTCTAGCTGTCAACAGAATGTCCTGAGGCTATTGCATCCGGATTCTATAGCTATCTTCGATTCTTTTATAATACACAAGGGTCTAATTTTCTATCAGCAAAGCATGAAATCATGTAAGAATGCCACATAACCAGCATGTGCAAACAAGTAGCACTTTTCCAACACATAAAAATGCTTCATAAAATAACAGATAAATTAAATCTTCTTATTCAAGTAAAGAGCTTGGAAATCAAGACCTTTTATAAAAAATTAGTTTTCTGCTCAGAGCTGACAGTGTCATGTAATTCAAGTATATTTGTTCCCCACCTTCCACGTTAATATGTGTGACCCTATTATTTTTCTTTGATTTACAGTGGAACTGTTTTATATCAGGAAACTTTTATGGCTATAGATAACAAGCATGTTAACTTCATTACGATCAGTATTTAGCAATTATGAAATTAACAAAGTGATGACTGGAGGATATGACTTGTATCCAACTATATTAGCTCTAACACATTCAGTGCTGTAAAGGAAAGGACATAGAAACCAAGTGTTCATCTTTCATCTTTATTTATTCATAGTTTGGGTACAGTGGGACAGGCAGTCAAAGTAAACATGAATCCTCAAAAATGACATTATAAAATATACTAAATGATGCATTCAAGATTTCTCTTCCCTCTCTGGAACATCGCTAAGTTTGACAAAGTGTTTGAAATTATCAATTCAATGATGCCCTTAAAAGGGTTAGCTTTGGCATATATTTAAAATACATGCAAGACATATGTCTTATGTGCTGCAGGAACTACAGGAAGCCGAGTTTAACATCAGTGAGATCACTGAAACTGCTTAAATTATCACTCACTATATGCATCCTCTATCTCTACAACTATAGGGTATTTTTAAACATTCTTTCTACATAATGTACAATTGACTTAGCACATGGCGCTCATATGTCTAGCATTAAAAGAACTTGTTGTAATTGAAGCAAACATGTTTTAAATAAGAGATAGCCAAGGCTTCTAATCTCCAATGTATTGCAAGAAGTGAAAGCTTCCATAAAAATAGATTTCTCAGGCAGCCAAAGACCACAGAGACTAGCTTCAAGAAATATATTAATCTTTTGGTTACCCTCATGTATGTCAATAAATCTTACTGACCAATTCCACCCATGATGCAATGCTGCAGCAAACTGCACTGAGCACAGAGGGGCAGAGAATAAAAATGTGTTTATTTGTCCTACAAAATTAGTTTTCTATTCTTCTGTTTTCCAAACATTAGTAATCAATATAACAGCATTGTTCAAGACTTTTTAAAATATATGTAGATAGATAGATGATGGATACATAGATAGATGGTAGGTAGAGAGATGGTAGATAGATGATAGACAGATGATAGATAGATAGATTTTGTGACATAATTTATTTATAGCGCAGTGCATACATTCAAGGAATTCACTTTGATGAGTTTGGACACATGTATACATGGGTGATACCATCACAAGCAATATGATGAAAACATACGCCATTACCAAATTTTGCTTGTAACCCTTTATCGTTTCTCAGTTTTCCCTGCTGCCCCTGCCCGTCCCCAGGTGCCAAATGTAGTAATAATCAAATGCTTGCACAAGTATGGGCTTTCTGACACTACCTTCGCTTGTATGTTTTAGAACTTGTATAAATGAAACCACATAGTGTGTGCTCATTTTACGTAGAGGGTTCAGCCTCTTCACCTCACGTAATTATTCTGTGTGTCTTTGAGGCAGCACACACAGACAGTTCATTCACTTTATTGCTATGCTATGTTCGTTTTCCAAGTGTTCCATATTTTTTTATCCACTCACCTGCTGGGACACATTTGGGCTGTTTCTAGTCTGTGTCTGCTAAAAAAGGCTGCAAAAAACATTCATGGATAAATGTTTATACAGCATGAGCTTTCATTTCCTTTGAGTAACTGCCTAAACATGGAATAACTAGATTGCTTAGTAGATGTATATTTACTTTGTTAAGAAGATGTCAATCTATTTTCCAAAATTGTTGAACCATTTCAATTCTCAAAGAGTGGACGAGATTCCCTTCCATCTCCTTCTCGCCGATATTGGGTATAATCAGTCTGTTATTTTTGTTGTTCTAGTAGGAATATGTTTGTGTCTGGCTTTAGGTGGAGTTTTGGCAGTGTATAATTACTTTGGCTTTTTTTCTTCTACTTATTTTCCACTCATATTTTTTTTGATGAAATGTCTTTTCCAATCTTTTGCTCATTTTTATGGAGTTGTCTGTTTTATTTCTGAGCTTTAACATTTTTATACATTCTGAACACAAGTGCCTTTATTAGTAGTATGATTTGCTAATGTTTTCTCCCATTATGTGGCAGTAAACGTAACTTTAACCCAAAAAGAGTCTCGGATGCAATTGAGGAACGGTTTGAAAGCTGTCATTGATGGGATAGTACTTCCAACTTGTAATTGAAAGAACTCCGCAGTCTAGCCAAGAAACACTTTCTCCCATCTATATTCTGGAAAGAGACTTGAAATGACACATGATTATTTCTTCATGTGTAATATTCATTGTTATGTACACACCCACAGAAGGAATAAATGGTAAGACTCCTTTTATTTGGCCGCATGACTCCTTTTATATGTCTCCATGAACTTGTTTCATCCGATCACAAATGCTTGCTTCCGTATCTATGTTTCAGTCCCTTTGGACAGATGCCATGCTTTTCCTGAGCTTAGATATCCATGGCTATCACAATGGCGCTAGCAGGTACTCTGTGAAGTTACTGGAAGTGATTGAAGAGGCCCTTTACCTGTGCTGTTGCAGCTCATGGCAAAAATAAACAAACTCCCCAAAGCCAACTTCTCACTCAGTTTTCTATTTCTTCCTCTAAAAGGTACTAAGATATTTCAGTTCCAGCCAAAGCAATAGCTCTAGAGAAAGCAGCCATGTTACTATGACTGTCGCTGAAAAAAGGAGAATCCGGGTCCCTTAGCAAATGAGGCCTGAACCAGAAAAGAAGACACCACAGACTCTTCACATTCTGAATTCCAGCACTGAGCTAGACGCATCGAGGAGCTGGGTATGACCGCTCCCTGTTGAGAGAAGCAAGCCCTTGAAGATTATGAAGAGCATCTTGCATAATGGTAAGAATTATGCTACCAT